AGACCCCTCCAGACCCTTCCCTGACCCCTCACAGACCCTGCCGAGACCCCCCGAGAACTTCTTGTTCGAAGCCTTCGACACTGCTGGCAATGGAGCGCTCTGCTTCCAGGTGAGATTCCCAAGGGATCCTCCACTGGGAACTGGTGCCACCAGAGCTGGGACCAGTTGCACCCATTCCCAGATCCATGATTCATCCCACTATCCCTGGGCATACAAACTGGGAGCAGTCTGGGCTGGGGGGGGGCATTCCCAGCACGGAGCCGGCACCGGATTTACCGGCGGGATTAAAAATAACCAGGAACCAGAATAGAAACGGGATCAATAGGAGATAAAAACTCTCCCACAGCACAGTGGGAGGAGGGGACAGGGGTCCACGGCAGGGGACTCTCTGGAGCTGCCAGAGGTGCCTGTGGGATGTTCCCGCTCCCAGCCCCAGGTTTTTCCGGCAGGATTTTGCCCTGGGTCTCTCGGTGCTGCTGAAGGGGACGGTGCAGCAGAAGCTCAAGTGGGTTTTTGACCTCTACGACATCAACAAAGATGGTTACATCAGCAAGGAGGTGACCCTGGGTGGAATGGGGTGACCAGAGGACCAAGGGGGCCTGGCTGGGAGGGTCTGTGTCACCCTCTCCCCTCTCCGTCCCCTCCCAGGAAATGCTGGAGATCATGAGGTCCATCTACGAGATGATGGGGCACTGCACCCAGCCCCCCCCCCAGGACAACACGCCCGCCCAGCACGTGGAGATCTTCTTCCAGGTGAGACCCCCTGGCCCTGTCCCCTCCTGGGTTGTCCCCCCCACTGGAGACGTCCCCACAGACCCCCTGTTCCCTCACAGAAGATGGACAGGGATGGGGACGGCGTGGTGACCTTCCAGGAGTTCTTGGAGACGTGCCTGAAGGTGAGGAGCACCCGGGGGAGCTTTGGTGTTACCATCATCCTCCTCCTCACCACCAGTTCCAGCTTTAACCCCCTGTTCCTCCATCCCAAAATGATGTGGGAGAGATGGGGAACAGCAGCTCCAGTTCCCCCCATCCAGGGGGGAGGGGGCCAGGGGAGGCCCTGACCTGTCCCCCCCATCCTGGGCAGGACAAGGACATCATGAGCTCCATGCAGATCTTCGAGAACGTGCTCTAGAACCCGCAGCACCTGAGGAGAACCAGCTTTTCCTACCACGTCAGACCAAACCAAAGAAGAAACCCCCTCCCGCTGCCTCCCAGTTCCCACATGAGAAGCAACTGGGGGGGGGGAACACACAGGACCCCCCTGCCC